GACCTCCTGGGCTTGAGTGATCCTCCTGCCTCAGCCTCCTGAATAGCTGGGACTACAGGGACACATCACCATGCGCAGCTAACTTTTATATTTTTTGTAGAGATGGGGTTTTGCCATGTTGATCAGGCTGGTGTCGACCTCTTGGGCTAAAGAGAGCCTCCCTCATTGGCCTCCCAAAGTGCTGGGATTACAGGTGTGAATCACTGCATCCAGCCTGTATTCTCTTTTAAAACAAAGGTTTTGGGGGTAATCCCAACTACTTAGGAGGCTGAGCAGGAGGATAGATTAAGCCCAGGAGTTTGAAGTTACAGTGAACTATGATTGCACCACTGCCCTCCAGCCTGGGTGACAGAGCAAGATCCTGTCTCAAAAAATATGTGAAATGGCTGTGCACATTGGTTCACACCTGTAATCCTAGCACTCTGAGAGGCCGAGGTAGGCAGATCATGTGCGGTCAGGAGTTCAAGACCAGCCTGGCCAACATGGTGAAACCCCACCTCTACTAAAAATACAAAAATTAGCCAGATGTAGTAGTGCACACCTGTGGTCCCAGCTACTCAGGAGGCTGAATTGGGAAGATGTATTGAGGCCACAGTGAGCTGTGACTATGCTTGAACCTGTACCTGAACACTACCCTACACAGGTTGACTATCTCCTATTTGAAATGGCTAGAATAGGACCAGAAGTATTTCATATTTTGGATTTTTGTCATATTTTAGAATATTTACATTATACCTAACCAGCTGAGTATCCCTCATCTGGAAGTCTGAACTGCTCCAGTGATAATTTCATTTGAACATCATTGCAACACTCAAAAACTTTCTGATTTGGAACATTTCAGATCTCAGAGTTTCTGATGAGGTGTACTCAACCTATATTCTCTTGTCTGTTAATACTTGTTTTCTAGTACCTTCTTAATTATCATTTTTTATCATTTTTGGTTTATTGCCAGACAAAGCATACTAAAGAAAAAAAATTGCCCCAAGCTCATATTTTGCTTGCCAATAGAAATGAGATGTTTCGGCCAGGTGCCGTGGTTCACAACTATAATCCCAGCACTTTGGGAGGCCAAGGCAGGAGGACTGCATGAGTCTAGGAGTTTGTGACTAGCCCGAGCCACAAAGTGAGACTCTATTGCTATAAAATAAAAAATAAATAAGAAACTTTTTTTTCTGTAGAGACAGGGTCTCCCTATGTTGCCCTGGCTGTTCTGCAACTCCTGGGCTCAAGCGATTCTCCCATCTTGGCCTCCCAAAGTGCTGGGATTACAGCTGTGAGCCACTACACCTGGTGCTATTTTACAGATTTTTTTTTTAAAGATGAAGTCTCACTCTGTTGACCAGACTGGAGTGCAGTGGTGCGATCCCAACTCACTGCAACCTCCGCCTCCTGGGTTCAAGTGATTCTTTTGCCTCAGCCTCCCGAGTAGCTGGAACTACAGGTGTGCACTACCACGTCCGGCTAGTTTTTGTATTTTTAGTAGAGATGGCGTTTCACAATGTTGGCCAGTGCTGATCTCTAACTCCTGATTTCAGGTGATCCGCCCACCTCGGCCTCCCGAAGTACTGGGATTACAGGCATGAGCCACCATACCCAGCCTGTTTTATAGATATTTTTAAGTTACCTTCTTCATTTCCTGTGTTTGGATTACTGCCGTTTAATGGCAGACTTAGAGTATTTATCCATGACAATGCTTAGTAAGCACTTAAGTGCAGCTTGTAAGAAGGTGCTGTGGTTCATCAGTAGATCACCACCTTTGGTGCTTATCAGAATCACGTTATAAGGATCTAAAAATTTTTTTGGCTGGGCACCAGGTGGCTCACATCTGTTATCCCACCACTTGGGGAAGTGGAGACAGGAGGATCACTTGCTCTCAGAAGTTCAAGACCAGCTTGGGCAACATAGCTAGACCCCTGTCTTTACAAAAAAATTTAAAAGGTAACTGGGCATGGTGTCATGCGCCTATAGTCCCAGCTACTTGGGAGGCTGAGGCAAAAGAATCACTTGAACCCAGGAGCTGGCGACTGCAGTGAGCCATGATTGCACTACTGCACTCCAGCCTGAGTGACAGAGCAAGACTTTGTCTCAATTAAAAAAGTCCCAGAATTGACAGAGCAAGACCTTGTCTCAATTAAAAAAAAAAATCCCTCGTTGCGTATTCTGAGTCAGTAAGGCTAAGGCTTGGACATCTGCGTATTTAAAAGAGAAAGCTACAGATGACTCTACGAAGACAGAGCTGCTGCTGTAGGGGGCCCCTGGAACTGGAGAGATGGTTTTGGAGAGCTTCTACAATAGTTCTTCTCTCTTGTCCTTCAACCCTAATCTGATAGTGTGGACAACAGTGAATATATGCGGAATGGGGACTTCTTACCCACCCGGCTGCAGGCCCAGCAGGATGCTGTCAACATAGTTTGTCATTCAAAGACCCGCAGCAACCCGGAGAACAACGTGGGCCTTATCACACTGGCTAAGTATGGGGGACAAAGGAGGAAGGGACTCGGTAGGTGGGTGGTTGTTACATGCTACTCTTCAGATTCCATGAGGCTGCTTTTGCCCATCACCTTCCTAAACTGCCTTCTTCACTATTCAGTGTAAATGTCAATAGCAACTTGTTTTTGTATTAACCTGAATTTAATACAGCACAGGAGCTAAATCTTCTGGGGTGAAATTTCTGTTTCTTTTTATTGTTTGTTGGGCAGGGCTAAGGTAGGGGTGAAATTTCATATTATATTTTAAAGTCAGTGAAAAGTGATTTTGGGCTGGGCACAGTGGCCTACGCCTGTTATCCCAGCACTTTGGGAAGCCAGAGACCAGCCTGGGCAACAGGGCAAAACCCCATCTCTACTGAAAATACAAAAAAGCCAGGCATGGTGATGGGCGCCTGTAATCCCAGCTACTGAGAAGGCTGAGGCAGGAGAATTGCCTGAACCCAGGAGACAGAGGTTGCAGTGAGCGGAGATCGCGCCACTGCACACCAGCTTGGGCAACAGAATGAGACTCTGTCTCAAAAAAAAAGAAGAAAAGTGAAGTAAGTTTTGGATCAGAGCCCGTGGGCATATATCACAAATCCTTTTAGGCTGGG